CACTTACTGTAAAAACTACACTTGCTTTTCTCAGCGAGTCAAAGTAAGTGATGGATTAATACTCGTAATACATATGCATGTGTGTGTGTACTGTGTGTACTGTGTGTACTCCGTGTACTCCGTGTTAATAATTACAGGCCTGTAATAACGTCTGAGCCGAACCAGCGGTGTCGTTAATCTGGAAATATTGTGGATGTGTATTTTCTCCTCCTCTGACTCCCCTGTTGTCAGCTTCTCTCTTTTGTCTGAGAGCCAACAGCATCTTACTGTAAGGCTCAGTGCGCCCTCACACGGACGCAGTGGGAACTGCACTCAGTCTGCATCCATTCAAGTGGCTGTAAGAGCGACGCAGACAAAGGGACAATATTATACAGTGGTGTTTTTTTCTTCCCAGAAATGGGTTAGAAATAAAAAAAATAAAAATAAAAACACCAGAAGAGGAAAGATATTTTGCGGCGATGGGGCGAGAATTATTTTTTTCTATTTAGACAATGAGAACCGTAGGTTTGAGTCGTTTTTCAGCTGCTGTCTCTGGAATAAAAAAAAAAAAACAGACCTGATCTGAGAGGAACGTGTTACGTAACCGCAAGCGGTGGTGGTTGTAGCCTGGAGTCGTTCCCATTCCCTTTTCTAATGACAGCTTAGCAGGACTGGCGCATCTGTAATTATGTGCACGGGCAGAGGCACAGGCGCGCGCACGCACGCACACACACACGGATCCTTGATAGTGACTTATTCAGGGAAAACACTGAAGGTTTAGAAAATAGATTCCAGGTCAACTCCAGCTGTGAGCAAAGAGGAGGAAGAGAGGACGATATTTAAAAAAAACAAACTCTAGATTATAAAACTTTTAAAGTGTTGCCCTGCACTGGTTCATGCAGTACAAAAAATAAATAAATAAATAAACTAATATGTTCATGCAGTACAAAAAAAATAAATAAATAAACTAATAGGTAATTAGCATAGAATTGCTTGTAAATACAGTAAAAAAAAATTAAAAAAATTCAAATTTTGGCAAAAGAGTAATCTAATTAGTGTTAAAAAAACATGTCAAAATGAGCCAAAAAGGCATTGAAGTCCACCAAAATAGACTAAATTAATTCAAAACGTCACCAAAAGTTAGCTGGAGGTGCTATCTTCGAAACAATGATAGTGAAAAGTGAAAAGAAATATGCTTTTTTTTTGGACAAAGTTTAAAAAAATTAACAAAAATTCATGTATAGAGATAGCTGAAAGTTCACCAAAAAGGATGAACCAACACTTATAGCAACATAGACTAAAAGTTAGCAGCGTTAGCTACACATAAAATAATTCAAGATTAGCCTAGAAGGGGCAGTAGTTATGGGAAATTATTGCAAGAATGAAAATCAAGTGCAGATAAAATGTGACAGATATGTCCAAAAATGAGCTTAAATCTGTAAGAAATGAACCACAGTAGATTTTATGTATCAAGATATTCCTGAAGATTTACCACACTTAAACTAAAACACTCCCAGATGGATCTTTAACTAAAAGTTGACCTTTTTAAACATGTCCAAAACTCTTACTGGTACTAATAGATGCTAAGTCTTTGGAGTCGTTAGCACAGGGCTAGCTAAGTTTAGCTAAAGGACTGCACAGGTTTGAAAATGGATCTTCAAAGTCCTTGAGAAGTGCTTGAATTTAGTGGTGAAGAATGCAGGTTAACCCTGAGCAGTGATACCTCGGAGGAGCCAGCATCCATAAATTTATCAAGGACACGTCTTTGTCTTCCCTCTGTGTTCTCTCTGTCGTATTAAGGATCAGGTTCAAACAAACGCAGCCGGTGAAAAGTGAGAATGTGCAGCTGTTTTGACCACAGAGCTGGAAGAGCTGGGAGTTTCCTGAGACTTTCTCACTTCAGCTCCCAGGAAACTGGAGCGGAGACGATCAGGGAGTCAAACTCCCCACAGGCTCTGGTCGCTGTGCTGTTCAGCTCTGAGCCAGTGGATACTGTGAAACAGGACACAGAGTGGGAGTGGGAGTGGGAACAGGAGGGGGACGATGTTTTTTGTTTGTCCACTTCTGATCAGCTGAGGACAGGAAGCTGTAGGCTGCTGCTTGTTTTCCCAGCCGACGGATGCAGGAATATCACAGGCTTTTGTCGTCGCGCAGCATCTGGGCTGTTTTTATAATGTGCACCTTAGATCAGCGTTTCCCAAACTTTTCTTCTGGGGATCCATATCTTAAGAGTCACAAACCTTCGCGACCCACGTCAATAGACATTATTCATAAACTCCTGGGAAAAATTATTTATTTTTATTGCGAGACGACTCCAAAAGAAATCTCTTGCGACCCCCCCGAGGGTCGCGACCCAGTCTTTGGGAAACAATGCCTTGGAAGTATGGATAATATTTCAGTGGGATATGAACACACTGGATTTCCAACTGGGCTAAGGTATTTAAAATAGCTTGAAGTTAGCGAAGAAAAAACTAATATTAAGGAAGATGATATTTATAGAATAAAATTTTATACAAATCCAACTTAGACTTAGCCATGTCAGCTGACAAAACAGCATTTTTTAAAAAAGCTTTTAGAAGTGCAAATTAGCCAATGACAAATAATAGATAAAAAGATTTGTTTTGATAGCACCAAAGTTACTGATTTGATCTCCCACGAAAATGACATTTTTTAATATATATATTTAATAAAACACTTAAAGAAATGGAGGAGTTTGATAAAAAGAGTTTGTCTCCGTGTGTGGACACAGAGAGAAGACGAGGCGACTCATCAGAGCTGTGTTGTTTTTATGACACTGATGGTATGTCCACGTCCACTCCTCCGTCCATTCATTCACAACTGGACCGGGACACGGATGGTTAAGCAATTAGGCCAGTTTTGATAAAAGATCCGTAAGTCACTGCAGTGGACGGTGCAGTGGCGTCTGTGTAAAAAACAGCTGCAGGACTGAAGACGAACAATTGTCACATCAGAAACCATCAGATGAACATATGCAGTCAAAAAGTTCTGAGATAAGGAGCGAACGTCTTTACTGATGAAAATAACAATGTTTTTCTTCAACTGTTCCTTCAGGACAAATATTCAGGACAAAAGTTTTCCTTTCAATTTTGGTCAAAAGTTAGATTTCTTTGGAGGTTAAATCCTCATCAGATGAAACAGTTGTCAAAGACGTAATGACAAAAAAGTTTTTTTAACACCTTTTAGTCGGTGGTTCCAAACCGTCTAAAATGGTTTGGAACCACCGACCTTTCTGAACCGACCCACTATCACCGCTGTGGTTCAGTGTGTGTTAAGTGTCCTCGTCGTGTGCGGTCAGATTCCGCAGTGGCATCTTCAGCCTTAAACAAACGGACTGCAACAAGAGGCCGTGTTTGTTCACGATCCACGTAATTACATTTCAACTGCAGCGAAGCCTCACAGTCCCACCTCACCGGAGCCCACCTCCTCGTTTCTCACCCCCCTGACCTTCACCTCACCTCTGACTGAAGCAGGCTTGAGCCTCAGCTTTTGGGTTTTTTTTCCTCCCCACTTTACCTCGGTCCACCCCACAGACTGGGTCAGAACCCATGACTGGTCAGCTGCTTTTTCAAGTGCTGTAACTACTGTGAATTTAGCTAAAGCTAGCTATTATTGTTTTTCTCCAACACACTGAGTTTAAGCCGTGTTTGCTATCTCTTCACCTACTCATTAGCTACGTTAGGCTAACAATTTCTGGCTAATTCTAGCTAGTTTTGCCTAATTGTCCACAGCTAAAAGCATTTTAAAATTAACTAAAATCCGAGGTCATTTTTACCTGTTGTTTAATTTTGCTAGCTTACTTGTTAGCTTTTAGCTAGGTGGGTTCTAACATTCATTTTCTAAGATACAAATGTGATATTCCTTAAAGTGCCTCTATTTTTACTTTCGGGTGTGTTCACTACATTTCACAGAATATTTTCTGTTTTAAATCTATAAATACTTATCATAGCTGTATTTTGCATCACTTTTAGCTATTCATGACAAATCCGTCTTTGGTGCTTTGTTTATAGCAAATGAAGTTGGACGTTATCGTCATAAAAAGCGTTTCCCCGTGTGATTCTTCACTGACTTCTGTCTCACCCTGACAGTTGAATGAAAAACTTTTATTTTTTGTACAGACTGCATGCTCCCCGGCCGATGATTCATGGGTGAAGAAGCTCTTTCATTTTTAATCCCGCTGCCAAACATGACTTCATCAACATTTTGCAAGAGACTCAGTTTCCTGGAGAAAAGCAGGAGCGAGTTACGACAAAGCCCAGAGAAGCGTTCGTGAAATCTTAACAGCTATTCCTCGATGAAA